GAACAAACAAAAGATCTTTTATACGAAATATTGATTACATTTCGACTTCTATTTGTTGAACGGAAGTGACGTTTAGTTTCACTTTCTTCTTAATAAAGCACTTTTCTGTTGTCGTAATCACGGGTCCGGCCGTCACTCTGCGCGTGCGCAGTCCCGGGTTGCAGATGTGGTAACAGTTCTTGATCGAGACGAACCGATTGGCGTTCCCGCCGCAACCTGTCGACCAATCACGTGTTAGAGTGTTTGCATTTGAATTTCCTTTTGAATACCTGAGAAGGAGAAGTGTATGCAGCGATTGATGCGCGCGTCGTAATACACGCGGATCAGGTCGCGGCCACAGGGGCCCGGGTCCACGCGCTGGTAGCACATGGCGGGGAGGCCGATGTGCGTCTCGCCCCGTATTATGGCCGCCTTTCCGCACTGACCGCTGGTTTGGTTGCAATTGGGAACGCGATTGACGACAATCATGGCTTCGGAGGGAAAAAGGGTTAAATTTTAATCGTTTTTGTGGCGAAAAAACCTTCGAAAAAGTGGAGAAAAGCGAAGAGAAAAAGCGTTGGAAATAAAAGTTTCGCCATTTTTGAAATTCGATACTTTTTTATTAATTAGTTTTTAATTAAAAACATTCATTCCGTCGACCGGAAGCACAGTTCCGGTGATGAACGACGACTTCTCCGACGAAAGGAACACCACGGCGTTCGCGATGTCCTCCACTTCGGCGAACGAGCGCATGCGCTGAGTCGACTTCTTCGCCACCTCTTCGGCCGACTCCTCCTCCAGACCGCCGTAGTTCAGGAGTGGAGTCCTCGTCAGCGCCGGACTGTTAAAGAACGGGGGTTAAGGACACAGACTCAGACAGTCACGTGACACTGACCTGACGCAGTTGACGCGAATGCCTTTCGGCGCCAATTCTATGGACTTTGAACTCATTATTAGCTTTTATTCATTTTCTATTGTTCTCTTACCAAACACTTGGAGATCATGTCGAGCGCGGACTTCGCGCAACAATAGGTCATCATGGAGGGGATCTGCGGGAGAGAGCGTTGTCACGGCAACAGTACACAAGAAGGAGAGGATTACGGGTTTGGACGACGCCTGCGACGACACGACGACGACCTTGCCTTTGGTCGTCTCGAGGAACGGAATGCAAATGGAGATCAACTGAAGAACGGATCTGACGTTCGTTTGGATCGAAGAGTCGAACAATTGAATGATTTTCGGATCGAAAACCGAATGAAAAACACAAGAGTTTTCATTTGTGACCAAAATGTCGATTCGCGCGAACTTTTCGATCGTCTTCGCGACCAAAGCGCGCGCCTCCGCTTCGACGCGCAGATCCGCTTTGAATTGCAACACTCGTATTGTTGACGACATTTGACGACACTTTATGGCGACGGACGACATCTTCTGGTCGTCTTTGCCGCTGAGGACGACGTGTGCGCCGAACGCCGCGAACTTGAGGGCAATGGCCTCTCCGATGCCCGAAGACGAGCCTAAGGACAGGAACGGTAATACTGTGGACACTGTGGAAGACACTGACCTGTGATGAGAACGACTTTTTCGCGAAAATCCATTTCTTTCATGAAAACTGTTTTTGTTTCGCTTTTTATAGAAAAAGATAAACAAAAAGCGATTTTGAGTTCAAAAACATTTCTTATCTTTTATTTCAAGGTTTTTGACCAAAAATTAAACAAATATTTGAATTTAAAGTTCGATTTTCACACAAATTCCGCCATTTTTCGCTCCTTTTTGTCTGCAATGGAAAACAACAATCAGTTTGCGATTACTCTCTCGCGCTCTCACCGAAGTGCATGTCTTTGGGGCGGTCGACGTGTTGCACGCTCTGCACAATACTGAGCGTGTACGCGGGGTTGAGGGGGTGCGGGAGGTGGCGCACCACGTACTCGCGCGCAGTGATTGGCGTGGGTTTGGGACAGTCGCTCTTCTGGTGGGGCACGAGGTAGGCGCGGATGGCGGACACGACGCGCGGCTTCTTGACGCTGGGATCCGAAGGGTGACAGATCTCGTAGCAGTTCTTCACCGAAACGAAACGATTCGAGTTTCCTGAGAGGAGAGAAGGCGTTAACGTGTTAATATGTGGTCACGTGACTCTTCTATTACCGCCTTTGCCCGAATAGGAGAAGGGAAGACACATCTGGACGACGGGGTTGTAATAGTAGCGGAAGATGTCGTCATTGCCGGTGCCCTTATGCGGGGGAAGCGCGCACAGCTCCGTCACGCTCATGGGCTCGGCGCCCGCGCGGTCGCAGCCTTTTTCCAGCTCCAAGTCGTTGGAGGGCTGCTGCGAGTCGGAGACGCCCTCTGGCGGCGCGTCCTGCAGAAGTTGGTTTTCCGCGATTTTACTCCAAATCGAAGAGAAGAACAAAAGAAACGAAAAAATTGCGAAAAAATTCATTTTTCTCGAAAACAGATGTTTTTATTAATTTAATCATTAATTGACGTCACGTGCAGTCATTCTTTCTTGATTTTACTCCAAATCGAAGAGAAGAACAAAAGAAACGAAAAAATTGCGAAAAAATTCATTTTTCTCGAAAACAGATGTTTTTATTAATTTAATCATTAATTGACGTCACGTGCAGTCATTCTTTCTCTTTCTTCTCTTCCTTTTTTTCTTCCTTTTTTTCGTCGCCTTTTTCCTCTTCCTTTTTCTCCTCTTTTTTCTCGCTCTTCTCTTCTTCTTTCTTGTCGTCTTTCTTGTCGTCGTCTTTCTTCTTGTCTTCCTTTTTGTCTTCCTTCTCTTCGGCCGCTTTTTCGGTCGTTTTCTCCTCTTTTCTCTCCTCTTTCTTTTCGCTCTTCTCTTCTTCTTTCTCTTCTTTCTTCTCTTCTTTCTTCTCCTCCTTCGTGTCGTCCTTTTTGTAGTCTTTCTTGTCGTCGTCTTTGTCGTCACTCTTGACGATGAGAAAGGGTTGCATTAAGAACGCGATCTGGTTGTGCGGCACGAGAGGAATGTCGTCAATGTTCAGGGAGTAGGGGTCGGAAAGGGGGTTGTGAGGAATGCCTTTCACCACATAGAGCGGGCCCACAGCGCCCGGCGCTCTTCGCGGCATTCCCAGCGCGCGGTTCGGCGGAAGCGCGGACAGAGCGCGCGTTTGCGGGCCTTTGAACCTCTGGAACGGACTTTTGCCACAAGTTTTACACGGAATTGGATTCGAAGTCACTTTTGGTGAAGAAAACAATTCAGTCTTGGATTCGAATCAAAGAAATACTGACCGCAACAATAGAGGAGCGCGAGAGAGAGGAAAGCGCAGAATTTCGACATTTTCTTAATTTGCTTTAATTGCGAACACAGCGCGCCCTCTGCCGGCGTCAACAGGAATTAACCAATTACTGCGTCGGCCGGCAGATGGCGTTCGGCGCGCGAAACGAGGAAAAGTGGAATTGAATTGCTTTTTGGGAAAAAAGATTGTTTTTTGATAACAAAAAGAAATCTGTTTTCGAAACACGAACTCTCGCCTGACGTCACGCGAGGAGCTGTGAAGCGCGACGGATTCGTGATTCGATTAATCGATAATCGATTGAAAGCAATAAAACTGTAATCCCATTAATGCGACCAAAGATGCGATTATAGGTCTCTAATAACTCAATAATGCTCTCAAAGCGCGCCCTTTAATTGATTTTCGCTGTTTTCGAAATCAAAACCTCTTTTCGCGTAATAATCGTTGACAACAATGAAAAGAGAGCGAAGAGAGCGTGAAGTCGACGAAAAACAGATGTTTCGCCAAACAATCGCTGCAATTGTTGTCTCGCTCTCCAAAAGCTCTCCAAAAGCTCTCCAAAAGAATTCGCATTCAAATAGAGTTGTCTTTGAATTGACTTTTGAGTCCATTATTTGCGCTTTTGTCGACATTTTGGGTCAACAAAGAGTCGCTCTCGAGATGACATCATCTCTGAGACAAGAAAAAGATGATTGATTAGAAAAACACGTGTTTTTCCTCAAAAAACTCGTTTAAAAGCAGTTTTGAAGGACTTTTCAAAAGTACTTAAAAGTCAACTCTTTTCCACTCTTTTCACACAAAGATGTTTTGTCGCGCGCTCTTCGTCTCCGCTGTGCTCGGGCTGTCGTCCGCGGCGTCCACTGTCGTCCCTGTCGTCTCGGCCGTCGTCGCGCTCAACAATGAGTTGGCTTTGAATGCTTTGCAAAGCGTTTCAAACGATGAAAACGTTTTCATTTCTTCTCTGCTTTTGACCCAAAGTTTGGTTCCGTTTCTCAACGAAGAGAACGCGCAGATGAAGGCCGCGTTGAAGACCAGCGGTCAGTCCAACACAACAATGCAATCACAGAGCGTGAGAACTGAATGAATGTTTTTTGCAGAGAAAGTCGCGATTCTTTTGAAAGGATTCCAAGAATTGAATTCAAAAAATGCGTTCAAAAACGCGTCGCTATTGTTGAGCGCGAGAGCGGAGGAGAAGGAGGCGTTCGTGACGTCAGCGCAACGACTGGACGTCAGAGTGGAGAGCGTGGACTTCACTAAAGGGAAGGAGACGAGGGAGAAGGTGAACGCGTGGGTTGCCATGGCGACGGGCGGCGCGGTGCCGCTCTTAAGGGACTCGTTGGACGCGGACAACCAATTGGTGGCCATTCAAGTGGCGAACGCCGTTTTCAACTCCAGTTTCGCTAAACTCAATGAGAAGCGCGAGTTCCGCAACTTCGTGTCCGACTCTTTGCCCCCGATGGCCACCAAAGTGCCCTTCATGGCACGTGACGCCGCCTTCAAGGCCATCAGAGAGGATCACGTGGTTTCTGTGGAAATTCCGATTTCCGAAACGTTTTCCGCTTTTTTGGTGAGAATTGAGAGAAATTTGAACGCATTTTGAATTCTCTTTCTTTAGATTTCTTCCGCGAGTTTGAACTCATTGTTGGAGAACGCGACGGCGGCCGACGTCACGGCACTCATCACGCGAACAATGGCGGCGAAGGCGCGCGAAATGCGTCTAATTTTGCCGCAAATGCGAATCGAATGCGAATTGGATTTAAAAGAACTGTTTTTCGATTTAGAAATTCCTTCGAAACTCAGTTTCGGATTCCAGAGAAACGTCTTCGAACTCAAAGCGGATCCCAAGGCCGAGTTGACGCCAAAGGCCAAAGGGGAGGAGTTGGTTGTCGCCGACCCCTTCATCCTCGTGCTCCGGGACGCGGACTCTGGTGTGTGGCGCGGCGTCGCGCGCGTGCAGAGCATTGTTGACGAAGAGTTGCTTTCATTTCAATTCATTTAATGTTAAAATAAAATAAAAATTCGGGATTTTTTACAAATGTTTTCACTTTTCGCCAAAAACTGCGTCCAAAGCGCGTGTCTATCAAATAGAGAGCATTGTTGTAGTGAAGAGTATAGAAAAGATAGCGATTCTCACGAAAGGCGTCGAAATGTCACGTGATTTCACATCCAATCCAATGAGAAGCGTTTTCTCGCAATCTTTCGTCTCTAATGACGTCATCATAAATCAGTTAATTGTTTTTGCAATTCTCGCGAAACAACAATACCTGAGTTTTGGCACAAATTTTGGGAAATTTCGCCCAAAGGCAGCGTTTGGCGGAAGAAACGCGCGTGACTTTCGCCACAGCGCGTGCTGAGCGCTCTATCAGTGCAGAGTTGCGCGCGTGAGAGCGCACAGCACAGGATGGACGGGGAGCGCGCGCGAATCGCCGTTTGGAACGCGCTTTTGTCGAAACAATGCGAGACTTTCTCGCGATTCAAACATTTTGAATGCATTTTCGTTTCATTTCTTTGTTTTTCGCAAAAAAATTCAATTCTTTTTCGAATCGAAAACGAAATGAAAGAAAACACTGAAAAAAGAATAAATATTTGAATAAAAATGTGGAAAATCTCGCGATTTCTTACTTTCGGTTTGAATTCTTGAAAAACAGTTTTTTTCGTATTTTTCGACACTTTTTGAGAGAAAAGGAATTATTTTCTATGATTTCGCGACAAGAATAGAGTTTTCAAACCATTTTCGCGTTTCATTCAAATTGAGACACAATTCGTCGAAAATGACGTCATTTTCGGGAAAAGAGTTGAGATTTAGCGCGAGATTCGCGAAACAGGAGTCGAATTGCGAGAGACGACAGACAGGAGTGACGACAGCAGACGACACGACGACGAGAGAGACGCCGAAGACGACAATCGGAGCGAACATTGCGAATGAAACGCATTTTCAGAGAATTCTTTTGTTTTATACGAAAAAATGGGAAAATTTGCTCAAAATATGGAACAGAAGGACAAAAAAGATGTAATTTTTCTCATTTTCGACACGAGAACCCAATTAGAGGTCACGTGACATCAAAAGCGCAATAAATGTGTGTTTCATTGATATTGCAATCAATTTGCGAAAACATTGTTATCTCTCTCGCGCTGCGCTCTCTCTGCGCTCCCCAGAGAGCGATTCCCCTCTCAATCCTCGCGAGACTTCTCTCCACTCGTAATCATTGTTGTCATAGAAAAGTGTTTTTGTTGTCATTTAAATGCAAATTCAATGATCACGTGATTATTCATCCATTTATTAATTGCCCCAACGATGACGTCATCGCAAACTCTTTCGACCGAAAAGTCGCCAAAAATTCCCGAACTTTGGAAGAAATCTTAAACCTCTTGAAGAGAGACGACACTTGGCGTCTGCGACGACAACTCTGTCTCTGTTTCCATGGAAACGTGATTGGAGTGGAAATGGCGTCGAATGCGAGTCAAGACTCTTCACAACAATCGACGTCTGAGCGCGAGATGAAGAGTCAGAGCGGAGAGAAGCCGCTGTTCCACTGCCAGGAGGTGGGAGACACCAAATTCGTCATCTTGAAGCGCTACCAGAACCTCAAGGCCATCGGCAGCGGCGCGCAGGGCATCGTCTGGTGAGTGGTCTCTCTCCGCACTTTTGGGCCCTTTCTCTGCGCAACGCGAGGTGTGTGTGCGCGCAAAGGGCCCAAACGTGCGCTGATATACACTGACTAACCAGTGTCTCTCTTCGGTAGCGCGGCGTTCGACGCGAAGCTCGGGGCGAATGTGGCCATCAAGAAGCTGTCGCGGCCCTTCCAGAACGTGACGCACGCCAAGCGCGCGTATCGCGAGTTCAAACTCATGCAAACCGTGGACCACAAGAACATCATCGGACTGTTGAACGCATTCACGCCGCAGAAGTCTCTGGAGGACTTCCAGGACGTGTGAGTATTGCCGCTGTGGTCAGTAGTGGTCAGCTCTAATGGTCACTCCCTTAGCTACCTGGTGATGGAGTTGATGGACGCGAACCTCTGCCAAGTGATCCAGATGGACCTCGATCACGAGCGCATGTCCTACCTATTGTATCAGATGCTGTGCGGCATCAAGCACCTGCACGCGGCCGCCGTCATCCACCGGGTGAGTGGTTGTCATGACAACACGCCGCTAACACCTTTATATTGCAGGACCTGAAGCCGTCGAACATTGTGGTGAAGAGCGACTGCACGCTCAAGATCCTGGACTTTGGTTTGGCGCGCACGGCCGGCACCACCTTCATGATGACGCCGTACGTGGTGACGCGCTACTACCGCGCGCCCGAGGTCATATTGGGCATGGGCTACCACGAGAACGTGGACATCTGGTCAGTGGGCTGCATCATGGGCGAGATGATCCGAGGTGAGTGACGTCACACAGAGTACACAGTGCTAATGCAACTCTGCGCAGGCGCGGTGCTGTTCCCGGGCACGGACCACATCGACCAGTGGAACAAGATCATCGAGCAGTTGGGAACGCCCTCTACCGACTTCATGCGGCGGCTGCAGCCCACGGTCAGGAATTACGTGGATGCGCAGGCGCGGTGCTGTTCCCGGGCACGGACCACATCGACCAGTGGAACAAGATCATCGAGCAGTTGGGAACGCCCTCTACCGACTTCATGCGGCGGCTGCAGCCAACAGTGCGCAATTACGTGGAGAACCGGCCGCGCTACTCGGGATACGCCTTCGAGAAGCTCTTCCCCGACCTCTTATTCCCGGCCGACAGTTCCGAACACAACAAGCTGAAGGCGAGCCAAGCGCGGGACCTGTTGTCGCGCATGCTCGTCATCGACCCCGAGCGCCGCATCTCGGTGGACGACGCGCTGACGCATGCGTACATCAACGTGTGGTACGACGACGCCGAGGTGAACGCGCCGGCGCCCCTCCCCTACGACCACTCGGTGGACGAGCGCGAGCACACCGTCGACCAGTGGAAGGGTAAGGATATTGGGTGTCACGTGACATATAATGAGACTTAAATCCATTTCAGAACTGATTTATAACGAAGTGATCGAATACGAGAAGCAGAAGAAGGAGAAGTTGGCGCCGCTCGTCGTCACGTGATCGCTTATTGTTGTCTTTTGTTCATTTTTTGTCATTTTGTGCAATAATTCTCAAAAATAAAATCAAGTTTTCATTTGACCTCAAATTCGAGTCAAAATTCGCGTTTTTTGAGATAAAAACCGGAAAAAAGTTTAATTAAAATAATATTTCCTTCAAATTAATGAATAAATTATGACTTTTTTCGAGTCAAAAGTTGAGAACAATTTCTCACGCGAAAGCATTGTTGTGTGCAATACCTGTCGCAAAGTACTGTCATGTGACTCTTAATCGCTCGTTTCCGGGCGTTGCGCATGAGTGCGGGGAAGCGGTGGTGGGGGCGGGCACTTCCTGCTGCGCTGTGATTGGCTGTGATTGGAGAGAAATTGCGACACTTTTGACAAAAGATTGTTTTATTGAGAGATCGAAAGAGTCTTTGGTTTTTGGTTTGACTTTTGTTTGACTCAAAGCGTGACTGTTGTGCGCGCGACGGGCGGCGGCGACGTCCTCTGCATGCTGGCCATCGAGTTCACCGCCGAGTAGTAGTACGGGTCTGGATAATGGACACAGAGTTAGGCACAGAGAGAGAGGCACAGACAGAGCACTCACTGATGGCGAGCGGGTTCTGGTTCGGGTTCTGCAGAGATTGCGAATAGGTTTGCGTTCCGTAACTCGGGTTCGCGTAATACGGCGAGTAGTAGTAGTCGCCGGGAGTCGCCGTCGAACCTGAGAATAGGGGGTTAGTATCACAATGACTCTGACGGCGGTTACCGGTGGGCTGCGGCGGATATCCGGCGTTTGCGGTCGCGGAGTAGAAGAAGTCGTTTCCGCCGATCTTGTCCAACTCGTGGTAAGTTATGGATTGCTCTGTTCACGAAGCGCGAGCTCAGTTTTGGAGAAGAGTTTTCCCGAAAAGACCGCAAACACCGAAAGTCCGAAACACCACAGAAAGAGAGAGAGAGAGAGAGAACTCACCGATAGGTGGCGTGTAGAGAGTGGTCGTCTCGTAATGGGGATGAGAGGTGATGGACGCGCTGACGGCCGCCTGACCGGTGCTCAGCTGCTCGGAGGAATGTGGGGGCGGCGGCGGGGGCGGAGGGGGCGCGTCCGCCGGCGCCGTTTGACCAGAATATGCCGACAATTGCTGCGCGCTTTGCGTCCAGTAGTCGGACGACGCGGCGGTCGTCTGTGGCGTCGCTTTGGACTCCACTTGCGTCGCCTTGAAGTCGTGTTGAGGCGAACGCGACGTTGACTCTGTTTTTGAGCACACGTTGAGTACAGGAGCGCACAGGAATGCTGGCTTACCGTTGTGGCCGTTGTTGGCCTCGTGTTGCACTTCGTTGCGTTTGCCCTTTCGGTCCGCGTTCTCCGCATTGATGCCCAGAATGCCGTTGATGGAGTACATGGACTGCTGTTGCGACGACTGCACGATCACAGACGTCTGGTTGTCGCTCTTGGGCGTCGTGGGGGGCGACGCGGTCGTGTGCTGCTGCTGCTGCTGGTGGGAGCTGTGGTGGTGCACGTGTTTCGCCTTTTCGGCCGCTTTGTTCCTGACGATGCGATTAATGCTGGAAACGCTGGGAATGTTGTCGGAGTCGCAGATCGCGTCCGACAATAAGCGGTCGCGGATCTCCCACGCGAACATGGTGGGGTTGGACTTCTTGTAGTTGGCGATGGCGTCCACCACGCGCGGAGTGGCCACCTTCGGCTTGGAGCCGCCGATCACTCCGGGCTTTATTGAACCCGTTTCGTAATAGCTAAGAGAGAAAAGTGAACCTATAGTGCGCGCAAACTGAACCTATACTGCATTCCGAGTGCTCTATGGAGACGACACAGGAATGCGACACAAGACGACGCGACGACAAGTGGTCGTCCTTTCGGCAATTTGGCCGAACATCGACCACTGCTCGCTCTCGCCGTCTGTGTCTCTCACCAACAGCTTTCACTGAATGGGAGATCCTTCAGAGCTGTCGTCGCGTGCAATGAAAGAGCAGTCGAACGCATCGTTCCGTTTCACGTGTCAAGCGTTCACTCGAAACGACGCAAACACACGTGATCCGGACGTCTGGTCGTCTCTCACAACAACTCACCGGCCGAGGATTTTGGAGACGCAGCCGTGGCTGACGCGGAGCTGTCTGCTGATGTCGCACGGCCGCACGCCCTGGTGCGCGAGCTCCACGATGCGGGAGCGCACGACGTCTGGCAACGGGCGCCCGTTCACGAAGACGCCGCCCAATTGGTTGACGCCGCCGTGACCTGCAACACAATAAACAGTGGTCAGAACACGTGCACAGCCAGATTCACGCGCGTACAAGAGTAGTATTCCATCATGGAGGCGTTGTAGCGGTAGAGCGAGAGATCCATCGCACGTGAAGCGGAACTCTGCGCTCAACACAACTGAACGCAACACTACTCAGCGCGAGAGGCAGAGGCGCTCTGCTGGCGAGCGCTCGACGCGCGTGCGAGCGCCACAACCAATGGCGAGAGGCGACGCGCGCGCATCGCCAGTACGCGTTCAGCGCCGGAAGCCTGAGCTTCAGCGGAAGCGAGCGCTGGACGCGAGTTTGCGTCAGAAAAGAGAGAAATCTTACGTTTCTTTTTACTTGTCGTCTGATGTGTCGTCTGTTGTCCACTCAGTGACGACGCGGTCGTCATGTGTTGTGTTCTGTCGCCGTAATTGTCGTCATTCGTGATCATGGGATGCGAAGACAGGAGATCGAAGGAAGAGTGGAATTCGTTTTCCATAATTGCGGCCAAAAATCGGATCAAAGTTCGCGAAAATTCATTCAATTTTCACCAAAAACTCACAAAAATTCATTCAAAAGTTGAGAAATGAGAGAAAAAATTCTCGTTTCAAACTTCCACGTAATTCCTGACCGTGGGCTGCAGCCGCCGCATGAAGTCGGTAGAGGGCGTTCCCAACTGCTCGATGATCTTGTTCCACTGGTCGATGTGGTCCGTGCCCGGGAACAGCACCGCGCCTGCGCCAACATTGCATTAGCACTGTGTACTCTGTGTGACGTCACTCACCTCGGATCATCTCGCCCATGATGCAGCCCACGGACCAGATGTCCACGTTCTCGTGGTAGCCCATGCCCAGTATGACTTCCGGCGCGCGGTAGTAACGCGTGACCACGTACGGCGTCATCATGAAGGTGGTGCCGGCCGTGCGCGCCAAACCAAAGTCCAGGATCTTGAGCGTGCAGTCGCTCTTCACCACAATGTTCGACGGCTTCAGGTCCTGCAGAGAGACAGTGTTAGCGGCGGTGTTGTCATGACAACCACTCACCCGGTGGATGACGGCGGCCGCGTGCAGGTGCTTGATGCCGCACAGCATCTGGTAGAGCAAATAGGACATGCGCTCGTGATCGAGGTCCATCTGGATCACCTGACACAGGTTCGCGTCCATCAGCTCCATCACCAGGTAGCTAAGGGAGTGACCATTAGAGCTGACCACTACTGACCACAGCGGCAATACTCACACGTCCTGGAAGTCCTCGAGCGACTTCTGCGGCGTGAAGGCGTTCAACAGTCCGATGATGTTCTTGTGGTCCACGGTTTGCATGAGTTTGAACTCGCGATACGCGCGCTTGGCGTGCGTCACGTTCTGGAAAGGGCGCGACAGCTTCTTGATGGCCACATTCGCCCCGAGCTTCGCGTCGAACGCCGCGCTACCGAAGAGAGACAGTGTTAGTCAGTGTATATCAGCGCACGTTTGGGCCCTTTGCCTGTACTATTGGCTCGCGTTGCGCAGAGAAAGGGCCCAAAAGTGCGGAGAGAGACCACTCACCAGACGATGCCCTGCGCGCCGCTGCCGATGGCCTTGAGGTTCTGGTAGCGCTTCAAGATGACGAATTTGGTGTCTCC